TTAAACATACCTAAAAATTTACTCTTGGCTTAATTAAGTTGATAAGAGGGTAATTAAGTGAATTTGAGTACAATTAGGATCTTGGATTTTAAGATTGAGTTTGAGAAAGAAGCAGGGTTTTTATACAAAATCGTCTGTTGTTTATTATTCACTAAAGATAACTAGTTGTGGTTAAGCACCCCTAGAAGTAGGTATGCTCTCAGATCAAAATCATCCATGGCTTTGATTTAAACTGAAGACAACTCTTTATGGTTTTGAACAATGAGGATAGGCCCTGTTAAGTGGAGACAACCATAAATGGTTGTAATTTATAACATACATGACTGTCCACTAATTAAACATCATAAAAGCATTTTATGTAAATGGTCAAATATGTGATCTATAATTAATGGTGTTTTTTAGGACACTAACAAAGTTATTTGACCTTTGAATAGCCTTGAAAATGATCTAAGATGGTGTACAGGTTAATCGAGCATAAGAGGTGTCCAGAATGGCATGTGTACTTGCTTTGCCATGTGCCATGATGCACAACCAAAATCTAGGTTAAATTAAACACGAAATCACCTCTGCTTAGAAGAAGAAAAGAAAGACATGAGAGAGAGGTGATAGAGGAGACATTAAGGGCTACTAGGGGCTTTACATTGGGAGCTGATTGGAAGTATTTAGGCGACAGATGGCCATGTTAAGTTTAAAATGATTTACTATCATGACGGCAACAACATGTCATGGTATAAGACCATGCACACTACTATGTATTGCACATCGAGAATATGGGTTCTTTGTGCCATCCTATGTGGTGCATATGCTATGCACCATAACGAGTAGAGCATTTTGTGGGCAATCATAATTGCCTCTTTTAGTGCTTTTTTGACAAGTTATTTGACTTTCTTTGCTTCCATTACCTTATTTGATTTATTTTAAACTATGGTTTGAGCTCAAATATCTTTCAAAAGGAATTTTCTTGGGATCCTAATATTTTAAACTATCTATTTCTAAATTCTTAGGTTGTGATGACTTTACTTTAGGATTTTAATTAATCTTGATTATCACAATGGTGTGTTAGAGTGTTGTTTTGGTAATGTCAAGGCAAACATTGCATTTCATACCTAAAAAACACAAAAACAGAGGGAGAGGAATGAGATTGAGAGAGAGGCAATAAAGAACACCCAAGGCTCTACTAGGGCATGATTTTGTGAAAACTTAGGAGCATTTTTTAGCTTGCAATCACCTAGGGTAAGTTTCCTATGCTCTTCTCTACATTTCTCTCTCTTTTAATAGAATTTTAAAGTTAAGGTTTGTTGTTTGGGAGTGATTTTTGGACTTTAAAGTTATGGGTTCAAATCAATTGACTTAAATGGAGTTAATATAAGAGTTATTTAGGTTGTTTAAACCCACCCTTAGTGATTTTAAGCATCCTTGAGCTTGGGCTCACCATTATGGATAAATTTATGCCCTAAATACCACTAATGATGATGGTTGAGGATTTTAATCTGTAATAAATGATGTTAAATGGGTCTAAAAAGGTTGTTGGAACTAAAGAGAGTTAATAAACTCATCAGATATAATGAGATGCAAGAAGTTTAGAATATTGAGTACTTAAAGTGTTGAGATAGGGGGTTAGGTGTGAAAATGATGACATTGATAATGTTGATATGATTAATTGTAGATTAATAATTGTTAGCAATCTTGGAAAAGCTTTGAAAGTGTTTGGTTTGGTATTGAGGAGTAAATATTTGACCTCTCAAAAGTTTAAAGTAATCAAAAGAATTTAATTTAGCATTTGTTAGTTTAATTGATTATAGTTGTTTATAATGTATTTTTGAAAATGAGTATGCCTTGAAAATGTGCAAAAGGAAAGTGTGGCTTGAGATTGATGATTTATGTGGATTCGATGCACCTGATCTTGATTATGTGAAAAAGTATGATTAGATTTTTGTTGAGTATGATTATAATATTTTGAGAAAGTGTGAAATGTGATGCAATGCATCTCTTTAGGCATGTGTACGTTGCCATGAAAGTGATTGTGTAAATTGAATACATGTCATTGAGCGTGAGGGTATAAGATGATAAATATGAATGATTTGAGAAATGAAATGTGATGATTTATGAATAATTCATTGTTATTACTGTAAAATTAATGTGATATGATGATGAGCAAATTGAGTTTAAAATATGAAAATTGATGAGTATGATGATTTTAGTTTTAGCATGCTATATGTGTTAAACAGGTTTTCATTGCATGATTAGTGGGAGTTGGCTTAGAGAGAAGAGTAGTAATATAAAATTCACGTGATAACGGCCACATGTCGTTGGAATCTAAGGCTAGCCACTTATCCCACTATTTGTCAAAAAACCATCCCACTATTTGTCGAGGGACTTTAACCTAACTTGTCTCTACTTGTTCATTAAGGAGACTAGCTTAGGGTTACAACACCCCATGGTATTGGGAAAAATTGTGGTCTAAGGGTGAGTGTAATAGCCTTAGTTAGGTGGTTCCTCACAATTGAAGAGCTAGGATAATCTATTCACATGGACAAACTTATTGATTATTTATAGCTCACGATTTTAATTAAAGGAAATAAGAATGATATAAAGGAGGTATTGATCATGCATAGCATCAATGTTGTCACATGATTGTCATTATTATAATAAGTGCATATTATCTATGGTTGCATGATTATTAGTATTGTCACCGTTGCATGGTTTGTGTGTGTGTGTGTGTTGTCGTCACATCGATGTTATTTTTTTGACAATTGCTTGTAATTAACCATAGTCATATAGTTGTTAGTATTATGACTATGGATGATTGATGATCAATGTGGTTATGTGAATTTTGAATATATGTCATGTGCATATCTATAATTGGTTAACTTATATTTGTATAGGTTAGATGTATTTTGATTATTGAGTGGTTGTACTAACATTTTTTTTCAATATTTTACAAGACCTAGCTTAGTTCAGGACAAAGGGAAAGTGTCAGAGGTTTAGGGATTTATATTCCTAATTGTAGTCCTCACTTATTTTAGTTTATGTGTATTTAAATATGATAATGCCAACTAGGAACTCATACTTTGGTGATTTGCTTGCAATATCCATGGTTGATATTGAATATGTGCATTTTGGGCCCTACATTGTATGAGTTAAGTTTGATAATATCTAAAAAAGTCAAAAAACTAGTTCAAGTAAGATATTGGTCTTTTGATTAGACGTAAAGTATGATATTCACTTTTAATGTTAAATTGCCTTTCCTTTTTTTTCTTTTTTTCCAATCTAGGAATTAAGAGTTGAAACTAGAATTATGAATTATATGATTGCCTACGTTGCGGGGTGTGACCCATAATTGGGAGTTTGTGGCTTCTAGTGCAAATGCCACTATGTATCTCCCTATTTTGTGCTACGTGGTTGTTTTCCCATCTAATTTCAAATATTTTGATTGTAAAACAGTATCACATGTTTCTGTACTTATTTTGACTTTAATCTATATTTATTATTGATATTTTTAGAATTGTTTTTTTTTAATTTATAAAACTTGAGATTTCAATTCTTTAAAAAGAATTTGAGTAAGGCTTGATTTGAGAATTTGGAGTTGGGCTCTAATACTTGTTTAAAACATTTTAACCATGGTTGGGTAATCTTATAGGCAATCCATAATTATCTTGGAGATTTTGACTAAGTGTTGAGATAATAAGGCGGACACTATATCATACATATATTCTTTCTTTTTATAGGGATTTGGATTTAGTAAGTAACATAAATTTACTCACTCAATGAATATTATACATAGTATGATATACTGTTTGATTTAATTAATCAGCTATTGGAGATTTTATCCAAAAAAACATCAATTCTCAAATTTATGGAGAGGATAACATACTTGAGGAGTGTTTTGATTGTGATGGTTATTTTGAATTTCTAATATGTATATATATATATATATGTATATTTTTTATAATTTTTAAGTGTTAATAAAATCCTATGTCTAATAATATAATCGAGACATTCATTGAATGAGTTAATTTAAGTCAATCATTAACATAAAATCCTATTTATTATACAAGAAACTATCATATATGTTTTCTTGTTTTTCATAAATAAAATTATAAAATTCAAGAAACATTTATTATATTTTTAAATTGTCTTTCATAAAATTAAAGTTTATTTTTATGAGATGAATTTATTTAATTAATTACAAATGTATTTTAGTCTAAAATTTTAATTTAATATATAATTGTTATATTTAATCAATGTTCTCGAACAGTGTGAATTAATTATGTTTTCCGTAACTTTGAGTTAATGCTAATCAGCTCAATTTCCTGAATGTATTAGTGTAAAAAAAAAAATATATATATATATATACATACATGTTGATACATACACATGCATATGTATCGTGCTCAACAACGAAGTTTAATTTTAATCCGACATGTTCCTACCTGTTAGAAATGTAAACTAAATTGCTCCATATGTAACCATAGCTAGCATGACAAATGTTATTGAATAAAGAATGAAGGACAATGGTTTTGAGATACTTTACACAGTAATATATTAACCATCATGTAATTATATTCTTTGCGTTTGTGTCAGTTCTACATGCTACAAAATTCTACTTTCCAACCAAGATTTTCTAGAGATTACATTTTTAAAAAAATTATATTGGTGCTCAAGCCGCAAGCGTTAATTTTGATTTCTTATTTTCCTAAAATGTGAGAATCATGAAATTTATCACTGAAAGATGGAATATGCCAACCATCCTATTTCGCGCTGAAAAGGCTTTGGTCATGAAGACCGTCCGGCCTCCCAGATCCACGATAGGGTAAAATTCAAGTGCTTCGCAGAGCACAAATCCAAACAAGCGTAATAGATGAGGCCGGGAAATATTTCAGCTCTCTATGACGTGGCAATATGTTATTGGTCCTCTAACTCGAGTTCACGCCCGTTACCATGTTTCGTGTTTTGTAGCGATGTAAATTTATATCATAAAGGAAATTCAGTAGAGCCACGAGTCGGCTCTGTCGCTTCTCTCTCTCTCTCTCTATTCATTTCTTTTTCTTTTTCTTTTTCTCCGTCGCCCTGTCTCTCTCTCTCTGCGACGGTCAAGGCGTCCAGTCACGCGTGGCCACCGTAGTCTCAATAGCCACAACCAGCGGCCTCCGCAGATTGCATAACTTTGCGGGCGTTCATTTTTTTCCTTGGCAGATTTTTTGCTTCCAAGAAAAGCAATGCCAGCACAGAAGCGCTTGTTCGACGCACAAGAAGAGGATGCTTTACACGGCGAGAGGAATCGCCATGAGAAGCCAGAAGATGGATTGGGTACGTGTTACTGTGCCCAAAACCCTCGACCAACCTAAAATTTTCACGACGGGAACTTGTTACTTCATGCAATTTATCTGAATTTTGGCTGATTGTGTTGTTTCGTGATCTTTTTTCCCGTCGCTATGTATTCCTCAGAATCTGATCGAAGCCCTTCGGAGAGCACTGGCGACAAAGAAGAGTATGTTAGCTGATCCGTTACTCTGATTTGCTTTCGTTGTTTACTATATATATTCTTCTTCTCCTCCTTCTCCTCTTCCATCGATTATATATGCTGCTCTTTGTTTTTCAATGCGGACTTAATTCTGAATCGACATGTTCTGTTCTATTTCACTATTTTCTCATCTCGTTTTACGGCGGTTTCTTCAGTATAAAACGTGTGGTTTTAGGAGCATTCGAGATTATTGGGGTGGTTTTGGTTATTCATCAGTGATGGGTTCTCTTTGGCTTTTGTGGTCGTGGATGAAGGAAGATCTGTAGTTCTGATTGTTGGTGGAGTTCGGTGTTAAATTCTCCGAAGCAGGGTTGTGACTTTCATGACTTCAACATGAGTTCATATCTGCGTATGGATAACTGAACGTTGTTCTGCGCTGTGGGTTGGATTGTTGTTTTATTTACTCATCTTACGAGGCAAAAATTCTTGTTTGCGGTTGCTTAGAAGGATCAAATCTGCCTTGGTTGTGGTTTCTCTTTTGAATTCAAATTTCCACGGAGAGAAACGTAGAACACTTAGGAGAGATTCAACGGTGTGGGTGGAGCATTGTAAGCTTTAGGTTGATGAAATGCCATCTTCTTAGGACCTTATTTACTCATGATTAGCCTTACCAAAAGCCTGCGTTGATTTGAATGTTATGTTAACCATGAGCAAGAACTTATTCTGTGAGAAGCATTTTTATCTGGTGTTAAAGTCACGTCATCTTTGGCACTTAGTTTCTCCGGACGACCCATTGGTCTTTACTTCTGAATTTTTATAGCAAGAGCATGCTACTCTGCTCAAGCAAATAATTTGAAACGCGTGAGTGCATGCATGCATGCATGCATAAGCTAGCCATATTTTCTCAGGAAAAAATGTCGCACAGTATTCATGGTGGAAAACTGAAAACTATTATTAATGGGCTTTTAGAATAGAATTAGTTATCAGGTTTCTTATTTACCATTGGCTTTTTTCATTCATATGATTTTTTGAGAACAAGGTATACATGTTTTACTGATTACAGTGATACACTCTCCAAAAGACATTTCCACTGTGTCTTTCTCAGCATCTTCTTTTAATTCCAAGGTTAATTATTTCTTATCAGTCAAGTAACCATTGGTGAAGTTTCTCTGTCTGTATGGCTGCCATCATCTCTATGGGGGTAGTACATGCACTTGGACGAAAATTGAGAATATGGCCTTTGGCAATGATTCATCCCCTTCAAAGTTATTATTAGCCACGTATCCTTGTGCATTGCATAAGTCTAAATAATGAATAATATTATTCACGAATTACTTATGAATAATGCAGTTGGTCATAGATTTTATGTTATATATTGATATTAAATTGTACAATTTGCTAATACCTCTATACATTGGTGTTTGCTTGCAGGTTTGTTGTTATAAAATTGTCAGATGTACGCAAGGAAGTTCAGTGCCCTATCTGCCTAGGTGTGCATTTTCTTTCTTTCTTTGTTTATTTTTTTGGTTAAAAATCATGCTTAACATAATTTCTTTAAAAAAAAAAAAGCATGAAAACTAAATAGTGAAGGGGCACAGCGTGAACACAAGGATGAAAAAAAATTTTAAGTGTCTACTGCTATTTGAAGTGTTGTGCATCTGGGTACACAATTCATGTTCGGCATGGATATGACTCTGTTGAATTTTGAGCTGAACACTCTGTTGCATTTGTAAACTGTGACTCTATAAGGAATTTATTTTCGGTCTTTGGAATATTCAAGGAAGAAAAACTGCAGTAAAACTTGTAACCAGTGAACTATTTTCCAGTTTGAGAGTTAATGGACTATTGAGAATTCAAATTGTGATTCAATCAAAACAGCAACAAACTGGTAAGAAACAAATAAATCTCATGTGGTTATGTTTTCCCATCAGGGATTGTATTTGTGTTGCTGTTTTTATGTTTGTGGATGCATGAAGTTTTGAGTACTTTTGGGCAAATTGTGCAGGAGGAAGCATTTTAATCTTTATTTTAGTTTGTTTACCAAAGTATCAAACTATGTAGAAATCATTGATTACTTGTACTGCAGGCATTATTCGAAAAACAAGAACCGTAATGGAATGCCTGCACCGCTTTTGCAGAGAGTGTATAGACAAATCCATGCGCCTCGGGTTTGTGCCCCCTTCTGTACATCATCTCAGAGATCAATTTTTTGCAATTGGGATTTTTTTTTTTTTATTTTGGGTGCAGAAATTTCCCCCCTCCACTGCGTAATCTGGACTTGTTTTGTTGCAGCAACAATGAATGCCCTGCCTGCCGCACACATTGTGCTAGCCGACGCTCACTGAGAGATGACCCAAACTATGATGCCTTAATTGCTGCACTCTATCCAGACATAGACAAGTACGAGCAGGAGGTAACCTGGATTTTCTTCATCTTATTTTGAAAAATTTACTATTTCATCTGCCTGGTAAGAAATCTTATTAACAAGGCTCTGGATAGGAATTGGCTCTGCATGACGATGAAAAAGCTCGCAATAAGCAGGTGAGGAAATCTTATTACTTCACGCACAAATTCTTAAATATTTGATGAGACTTAAGAGAGTTTACTTTTCAAAAGGATTAAATGCTTTTTTCATTTCATTTAGCGGGAACTGGAAAGAGCTTTGGTGTGCTGTAAACTGTAAAACACTGTCATAATATCAAATGATCAAATGTTTTTTTTTTTTTCAATGCTTGATAATTGATCACTGATTATGTTTTTTTTTTTTTTCGCAAGATATTACTTCTGTTCATAATATATATTTAAAGGGTTTCATCTTTTGTGATCAGATCCAAGAATCTATTGCTCAGACTCTTCAACGACAAACAGAAGCGCTGGGTAAGAAACGCAATGCCAAAGCGATTACAAGGAGGTCACAAGGTAACTATAGAACTTTGCAATTGAGGGTAAGAAGAAATTGTAGAAGTACGATTGAACTTCAGGGATCTGATGACACTGAGGACATGAATGATGATGATGGGGCCAAGGGTTCTTCTTCTGGTGATGAGTTGATAGAAATCAAGTCAAAAAGATGTAAAAAAGGGGCGGAAGCACAATTTCCTCTGCACTCTGCAACCACTGTTGCAGATGGTGCCGGTGATGAAAATGTTCCTGAAGTGAGTAGAGAATTCTTGAGTCCTTCTAGTACATTTGCCTGGGGAAAAAATGGCCACCGGAGTCACACCCGAGTCAATGGCAAGAATGCCAGAAATAGTCGCCTTGCCAAATTGATTGATAATCTCCGTAGCTTAGAAGAAAATGATGATGAGGTAATTAGCTTTTTTTCCAGCTTTGGTTTGGGTTCTGCTGGAATATAAAATATTAAATTAAAATGCTGTAGCTTTCAAGCTGGTGCAAATGGTTTGAGATCTCATGTTAACTTTTAAACTGGTGCGGGAGATTTATCACGGGGGTTGCATAGTTCATGTCCTTATCATTTACCATCATCATTATTTTTCTGAATCTCGTTTCTGCTTGAGCACTTGCACCACCACAATAATAGGATTGTTGATGTTGATTTATATTGTTTCAGTTGGGTGTCTCCCTCATGCTTGTGCCTTTTGATGAGAAAAGAATACCAAGTTTGCAGCAGCCATACCTCTACTGCAGACCTACATTGTCTGTCAGGCACCTGTGCCAGGTTATACTCTTTGCAGAAATTAGATTTCTATTCAGTGTGTAATGTGTTCTAATTTGTTTTACTTCCTACAGTATGTTGCCCTTCAAACAGCTGTACAGGCTGATGAGGTTGAGATATGCTTGGTAAAAGAGCAGCAAGCCAACTTTATTAGAGCTGCAGGCTCAGTAGATATACCCAAAGATAATTTGCAACTGTTGAGAGAGCAGGAAACTTTGGCCGAACTTAAACCTGATAATTTTAGCTTTGGCCATCTGGTAAATCTTATACGTGGACTTAACTATATATGGCATATACGTGAAGAACAGCTAGTTTGCCTTTATTAATCACCGCTTTCTTCCTCGCGTTTTCCAGCTTATGGCATATAAGAGGAGGCTGTTGAATTCAACTGCGGCTGACTTGAGGTGAATGACGTGCAATCATCACCCAGACCAATTCTCGGCTCCATGCATAATTTTACTAATAGTAAACAGTAATTAGTCTCAGGCAGTTTCATTGTTCGTCTTCCCCCCCCCCCTTCTTTTCTCGTTCCTTTAAAATTTCCCTCATACTGTAGAAGAGCTGAAATTAGTTTGTATAGTGCACAGAAAATGAGAATCTCAAATGTTCCTACGTTAATTTGACACACTTCAGGTTTGCTTACAATCTGTGTGAAAGCTTTGGTGTGATTTTTTCTTTATCATTATACAGATATGAAATACTCCCTCCGTTAAAAAATGTAAGACATTTTTAATCGAATCTCACTCCCGAATAAAATAGTTATCTATTTTTAAACTAATGTTATCTTTTTATATTTATCCTTATTAAACAACCTATAATAAATATAAAATCATTATTAATAGCGGCACTTTTAAAAAAAAATAATGATTACTTTAAAAGATTAAAAATATTTTATATATTTTAACGTTTAATTCTTTAATAAATGTTTCATATTTTTTAATGAAGGGAGTATGTATGTATGTATGTAAATATATATATATATATATATATAGTGCTAAGAATTGCATGGTGCTGAACAGATGTTTGCAAGCTACTGCGGACTTGGGGCCTCGTCTTATATATGCCTCGTGATAAAGTTCCTATTCGTTCGCTTTTACAACGTCTGAATTATGGTTGCATAGTTTGCTAATGTTGTTTTTTTTTTTTTTCATACAACGAACTTTGCAAATATTATCCCTAATTTTATGAGCAAATATTTTAACCTGTGATAATGTTGACACTCGACTACACCTTACTGTTTCTTCAACACTAGCCTTAACGTTTTAGGAAAAAAAAACTGCACTTACCATTTGGGGTTGAATGTTCGCGTCGTTTCATTTCATCCGTATCTACAACGCTTTTATTGTTCTCGGTGATTCATTCATTGAGCCACCTATTGGTATTAAAATAAATCATTTGGTTGAAGGTTCTTAATTTCTCACAGCTTTGATGGCGGCTATGTTACGTTCGTTATTTCACGGAGCAAAGGAAAGAAAAATTAAATTCTAACCGCTAAGAGTAAAGGTTTCGATTAAGCAGACTGAGATGCCATAATTTTCAAACCACGTAATAATGTGTTAAGACCGAAAGGTTCATTGTTTTCATCCATTCTACCACCGCAACTATAATAAATGATAATAATATCTCTCAGCTAATACCAAGTGAAAATTATAACTACGAGGTTAAGAGGTGACTTTTCAAACTTACTCACATTCTGTCTTAAAACTTGCAGACAAGAGAAACGTAAAACCTGTGAGGCCGTGAAAGCCTTCTCCTTCTGCATCATGTGAAAGCTATTAAGACTCATCTAATATCACTCCACTAGATGCTTCACTAAGTACCATCACACCGCTCCCATTCAATCCATTCACGTTCCAATGAATTCCTCTAGCAACCTCTCCTCTATACTAAAGAAAAACTCGGAACCCCATTTTCAAAATCATGCATTACTTCTTCTCCTTCTTCAAAATCATAATACAACATTAAGGACATGCCCTTCTTCTTCCTCAGGAACCCTCTGGGCTCGAAGATGAAGAAAGGTATCAGAACTTTCTGCAACACCGATGGCTCAACCTCCACCCTCAACCAACAAAGCAGTACTGTTGACGAAAATCCAAGGCAAAGCTCACCAACTCTGGAGGATCTGATACTACAGTTAGAACTAGAGGAAGAGATCGCTAGAAAGTCAAAGCTTAAAAGCCATTACAACGATGGAATCATGAGGGGCAGGATGTCATGTGTGAACAATTCTGACATCTTAAGATCTGCAAGAAACGCCTTGAATCAGTACCCAAGATTCTCGCTTGACGGTAGGGACGCCATTCACCGATCTTCGTTTGGAATCCAAGAAGGAAAAAACTCAGTTTGCTGTGACACAGGCTTAGGACGAAGGTTTCCGCTGGAAGAAGACGAAGAAGAGGAAGACGAAGAGAAGTATGGGTTAAGGAATAGGTTTAAAAAGACTCTGTCTTTGCCTGCAACTCTAGCAGGGGAAAGTGTGGTGTGGTGTGAGCCTGGCGTGGTGGCTAAGCTAATGGGTCTGGAAGCCATGCCAGTGCCTGTGAACAGCAGAAGACCAGATAGCAGGAAGGAGAAGTTGAATGGTATCATGAGAAGACAGAATCTGAGAAGGAGATTTGAGAGACATGACTTAGAGAGAAGACTGGCCATGGAAATGCAGGGTAATGGTGGTAGTACGATCAGGAGGAACAAGAATGGATGCTGCTCTAGAAACGAGTATTGTATTATGAAACCAGTTTTTCACTAGAATCATACACGGTATGCTCTCAAGGTTTAACTTTCTGATTTACCAATAATCATGGATTCATTACTCTCTCTCTCTCTCTCTCTCTCTCTATATATATATATATATATATAAAAATTTATGCAAGTAATGCCTCGAGGGTTTTCATTGATCTGTACTTTTCTTGTTATGAATTTTATTACGCTGATATTAAGAGACCAGAACGAAGTCTGGTTGTTCCAATCCATTCGTGTTATTCACTTACGATTAACTTCACGGTGATTTTATGTTTAGTCAAGTTGATACCTTGAGAATGAGATGCAGAAATGAGAGATCCAAAAAGTGATAGGAACGGAGCGTTCCTCTTACAGAAATATTGAACACGCAGATTACCGGTTAATCTGCTGGAGCAAAAGCACAGGCAAAAATATAAAAACGACACTCAGTAAACGACACGGACCAGAATCAAAGTCGGACGCGTCAAATGGAGTACACGTGGCAGACATTCAAGGAGAAAAGACAGCATCTGCATTAGACCCTCCGTCAAGTTAGCGATGCTTGCTCCTGGTGTCTCCGCTGTAGAGCCTGCCACGTCATAAAACACACACAAAGTATTTTTAATATTAACCAAATAACAGAGGAACATATTTACTTTAACCAAATTTTTTTTAAAAAAAAGAAGGACTATATTTACTTTCTTCAACTAGCAAGGGAATTTAAAAATTGAATTTTATGATCATCCATCAACATGCACTGCTGCCGTGACATTTTTGAGATTTATTTATAATCTATATCTGTGAATTTAATAGGGAGAAATATAAATAACTACTAACTTTCATTAAAAATTTGAATTTGAATTATAATTAAAATTATTGACAAAAAGTGACACAATTTTGCCGGAGAGTTTTTCTTATTTGACACTACTTTTAAAAAAAATAATTTAAAAAATTAACAAAACTTAAAAAATATGCTAGATATAATTTCAAAGTGGTATGATGTATTTGGATACTTTTTTACAATTAATTTAATTTAAGTAATTATCTCTAGTCAACAAGCAGCATTGTTCATAATTTTTTCAATTATCCAATCCAACAACAAGTTAATTATACTCTCATCATGATTTAATTTTCAAAATACTTACTTTCAATTTAATCATCAAGAGATTAATTCTTCTCCTACTTTTTTGATTCCATAAATGCAAAATCTTTCAAAAGTACATGAACATTTATTTTGGTTTATAAGAATAAAGATGGGATGAGATGATTTGCATTATATTACCAATCATAAACAGTGGGAGAATTTGGGAGAGGCTTGTCAAACATCTCAGCACCAATGCTCTTGGTGGCAGAGTTACTCCCCGGATTGAACACGCTCCTCCACACGTTGTCCTCTTTCCTCGCCGACGTCGGCGTTGACGGTGTTTTCGGCGTCGATGCCTGTGATGTCGGCGACGTCATCATGCTTCCTTCTCCTTCACCATCTGATCATACAAACACTACAAATTAAATATTGATACACATACAAATATCAATCGCTAACTAGTTACTTGCAAGTGCTACGAGCAATACCTTTGGTGTTGAGCTTCCTCAGCCTCCCAAGTCCACGCTCAGGTTGAGGACCGGCCACAACGTCGTCCCACAGCTTCTTCAGCATCTTCAAATATCTCTTACGTGTGTACGTACCTTCTCTCTCAAACTTAAACGCTGATCTGATGAGTTATATCAGCATTGTGTTTGTTTCTGTTTTTGTGTGTGTGTGTGTAATAGACAGAGAGGGAGAGAGAGTGGGGGAAGAAGCTTTGTGGAGGTTCCAAGTGGAAGGTTCTGCTTGTCTTGCACTGCGGAAACTATGGAGAGTGCGAGAAGCAGCAATGGATAAGGATGGATGACATGAGAGTGAGACACAAATTAAACAGTTGTTTGACTTTTGTGTCTTTGTGCTATTCTTCAGGAACAGTGTTCTTATAGACCAGCACTTGACACGTGGACGATCCTCCCCACTTCCTTCATGCCCCATGCTCTCAAACGTGTCACTTGTTACGTTTTGGCTTCCTAGTAACCGCAATATCATTTGAGACACAACAGAGGTAGAATATTAAATATGAATATTTTTTTAATTAAAAAAATTTAAAAATTAATTTGTCATATCATGAGTCTGGTAAAATATATGGATAAACATTAAAAAAATGTTGGGATCTTTTATATTTAAGAAATGAATCAACATACACGCAAAGAAAAATAGAGGACAAATAAATAGATAGAATTTTACTTAGGCTCCTCAAGTACAAAAATTTGTATTTATGGCTCAATAGAATAGTCATTTTTGCAAATTTTGAAAAGACTCATTTGCCCTAATCTCAATAAAATGCTCGTGTATACACAACACGATGTTTATAAATTCTCAATACAATGTTCATGAGTGTACAATAATATTAACTTGAAGTATGTTATTTCAATAAAAGTAAATTATTTATTATAGACTTTATGTTGTACAAATATTGTAAGTCTACGTATGTTTACTATGTTGAGAATTGATAAACATGATATTGTATATTCATGAATATTATGTTATTTATCATTTGCTTGTTTGTACATTTCACTTCAAGTTAAATCATATCTATTAGATATGTTGTACATTCAGGAACATTCTATTGATAATTCGTGTTGTGTATATATAAACATTCTGTTAAGATAAGAACAAATGCATTTTTCCATCCACAATAAAATTTGCAAGAAATGTTTTTAGGCACATAATGCGTTTTCATATTCTATTGGCCTAAATGCAAATTTTTGTATTTTAGGGACCCTAAGTGAGATTCTCCCTTCATTTTAATGGAAGAGTAATCTTGAAAACTGTTGATTTTTTTTTTTTACAATTTTAATAAAATGAATAATTTTTAACTATTTTTTAAAATCCAAATAGAGTAATTTAAAGTTAAAAAATATTTTGAAATCTAGTCTTGTATAATTAATAGTGTGTAGAGGTAGCTTATCCTTTGATGATGATCAATGTTATTTGTGGGAAAGAGATCAAGTGGCTATTTCTTCTACAGTCCTTAACATGAGACCGTCAACATAATCCTTCTTGAGGAGTGATAATTTTTTTCAGGGAGACGATTTCAATATATATATATATATATATTGAAATAGAGACCTAATATTTTAGTGTGCTTAGGTACACTCAATGCAATGCAGTATAGTTAATGAAAAGTTGTCAATGCCTTTTTCTTGTGTGCGAAAGGTCCCATGTTTAAGCTATACATTGACATGAGTGTGTCACTTATGAATATTAAAATGATCACTTAAGAAAAGTACATGCAGTGCTGAGTGTTAGTGCAATGGAATGCCATAATAATAATAATAATAATAATAATAATAATAACTGTCTTTATGCATTTATACATTTTAAAAATAGAATGATACAAAGAATGTTAGTGTGAATGAAGGTTGCATTTTAGGGAGAATGAGAAGTAAGAACCTTGTAAAACATTAATACTAAATTATGAACTTTAGTATTAAAATATGATAGAACAAATACTGAAATTTAAAAACGTTAACGTTGAAAAATTTTAATTTAATATTAATATCCTTACAAGATTCTTACTTGTCGTTCTCCCTAGATTTTAAGTTTATTTTCATTATTTACTTGGGGTAATCTGACTTAAGGCCCCAAAAACACAAAAACTTTCATTTATGGCCCAATAAAATTTGAAAATGCATTGTAAGCTCCAGGACTCTTCTTGCAAATTTTGTTGTGGACAAAAAACCATATTTGCCCTTTTTTCAACAAAATGTCTATGCATGCAAAACATAATATTTACAAATTTTCAATATAATATTGTTGAATGCACAATATATCTAGCAGATATGGTTTAATTTAAAGTGAAATATACAAGAAAAACAAAGGATGAACAACACGATGCCTATGAATACATAACACCATGTCCATCAATTATCAATATAAGTAAACATATGTAGACCTATGATATTTGTACAACATAAAGTTTATAATAAATAACATACTTTCATTAAAACAACATACTTCAAGTTAATGTTCACCGAATGTATTGTGCATTTGTAATATTAAATTTAAAATTCATGAATATCGTGTTATGTATACATAAACATTTTATTGAGATGAGCAAATGAGTCTTTTCATTCACAACAAAATTTATAAAAAAAGACCGTCAGGCATATGGTGCATTTTTAAATTCTATTGGACTTTAAATCTAAATTTTTATGTTCTAGTTGAGATTCTCCCTAAAATCAACTTATTTTGATTGTCCTGTACATGATAATTAAAAAACCTATTTTAATTGCCAAGAAATCAACCTCTATTAATGGTTTAAAATTTTTCCCCCCCTATATCACCTCTCTACAACATAAAGAGTATTCATGAAAAAATAAAAAGAGAATCTTTTTTTTTTTATTATTTGGGCAAAATGTCCTGTATACAGGACATTCTAGAAAGTGTCTTTAAGTACGGGACGGAGTGTGTGTGTGTGAGAGAGAGAGAGAGAGACACACACACACAAGAGAAGACATGACACAATTTTAAAAAGAAAAGAAAAGGGAAAAAAAGGCCAAAAAAAGGACGCATCCGCATCATTTTAGGTTGATTGGGTCCATTGAAATTAAGAAAGCGTTCATCATATATCGTCGCATTCATAATATCTATCGACCACCAGACCAATGCGCACCTTACGAATGAACAGTCCAAAAGGTAGATATGATGGCCCCTAATCTGCGGATTAATAACAGCAAATTGACCGCACTGATAATATTGATCTTGAAACTAGTTCGAATCCCATCACATTCATGTCCAACAAATTAACAGAGATTAATGCAGAAATAGAGCCTACGAAAAGGCCAGCGTAGATCCCCTCAAGTTTTGACTTCCAAGAAATCTCTCTTAGAAGAGTTTGATTGTGGTAACTCATGTTTGCTGGGATGACTGTAAAACATACAGACAACTGGCAACAATAGTACATGTAGAGTGCAAATATCTGCATGATTAGTGTTTCTCATCGGTTAACTATGCAATTGAGTATGTGCGTAAACATAATGAACCATTAGCAGAAAGAGGATAAAAATGAAAACCAACTATTTCTAGCCAGCAAAACACATGCCAACCAACACAAGAAGGTGCTCTCAACCCGAATAGGCATATGACTTGTTTGGCCTCGTTGCAATGGAAGCCCGTCAAAGAACCAAACTCACCTCAGTTGTTGCAGCTGAAGCTGATACCATTTCACTTGAGTCCCACATTCGGGACCAAAAATCAAACTACCCTCCTGACCAAGAAAGCAAGACAAGCCAAGAATTCGAATTTGCTGGCACTGGACCAAACTCCAGTTCTGCTGCAAATCCAATGATCACACCTGCTGATCTGTTGGTTTCCAATGGTCAACTTCAAACACAAGAACTCGCATTTCGATCAAACCAGTCTTTCGTCACAAATCCTCCCAGTTTCAGATGCTCATTGCAAGCAACTCATTGCAGCAGTCAGAAATCAAGTGGGCAAATAGACAACACAAGCAAATATAATGAACTTCACAATGCAAGCAAAAAAAACTAGAGAAGGAAAGCATTAGGACAAATTCCAGAAGGAAATTCTTTATTCTTTAACTTGTAAATATTCCCATGCCTAAAATGCCATGTCATTTATACCAGGCATGGCTAAAGCACAAACTGTCCAAGGATAAAATGCAAAAATACAATCATAAAAAGGTTTATTATGCTTTTGCTTCTCTCAAGACCAGAATGTCCAATAAAAATTAGCTTTTCTAGTTGAATAATGTTTAGGCATGCAAGAGGCTTCAAGGAGCATGCTTTTTCAGGTTCTAGTGGTTGCAGAAAAGCATGGAGGAGGGCCAAGGAACTGAGGAAGGTGTGGGTGGCCTAAAAAGACAAGCATCCGCACTAGTTTTCTCTATCTTTTTTTCAATTCCTAGCCCTTGTATTAATGATTAGGATGGTGTTTGATTCTGTAATGAGCTAAGCCTTTGTATCTGAAGTTATTTTGAAATATTTCATTACAGCCTGTTTATGTTATTCTCATGCAATCATTTGCTTCATGCTTCCTCATTGATTGGCCATCAATTTGGAATGATTAGGTATTCCACTTGATTTGAAAGAGGGAAATCGTGATCAGACCATGAGCTGAGTTGTGTGAGTACTTGACGCTTGAAGGTTTCTCTATTAGGTAAATAGCTTTGCTAATACGATAGGAGCATACTTATCAGTATCACACAGCCAAATTAAGATTTATGTTCAAAAGAGCCCACAATTCTCAATTAACTCTAAAGGAGCCATTGTCAATAGGAAAATTAGAGGAAGATAGGACGTGGCTTTGGCAGCATGGTAGCATAAAGGAGTTCAATGACTCCCACAATGACACTACCAGTAAATTAAGAATGCCAAAAAAGTATCTGTTGGTGCTGAACAAAACCCAATGGGCCCTGTGCCCTAATTCCTATTTAATATTTATCATTTACTGTGTTTTAATATTATGTTTTTATGTATCGCATCTGTCCCTGATTTTTAGGAGTTTATTTTAATGATTATTTCTGTTTTTAGTATCTCAGCCAGATCCTAATCTGTTCTAGGGTTTGTGTCATCTCTACATATGTATTTCCTTCCATCAAAATAATGCTAAGCTTTTATCCAACATCTATATTTCCTCATTGTATCATAGCAGCTATGATCAAATTCGGATTTGGGCTGCACAATGAAGGCCATGATGATAGCGATGAATCAACTGGGAACAAAAATTCCCCATCTACCATTGCAACCCACCAAGCGCCAAATGATGCTGCTGCAATCACCATTCACAGATTGAATGGTCAGAACTATATTCAATGGGCTGCAGGCGTGCACCTATATGTTAGGGGCAAAGGAAAGTTCAGGCACCTTACTAGAGCAACTCCAAGACCAGCTTTGACCAATAGTAAGTTTTCCACCTGGGAGGCTGAGGACTCACTTGTTCAAACATGCCTAGTGAATTCAATGACCCAAGAAATCAATGCCAGTTTTGCTTTGTTTGGATCAGCCTATGAAGTATTGGAGGCTGCCAAGGATATGTTTGCCTCTGTTAAAAATAGAGCGGCAATTCTGGAAATTGAAGGAGCTCTTCATGGTCTAAGGAAAGGTACTTCATCCATTACACAATATTATACTAATCTTGTTATGTACTGGCAGCAATTAGACACCTACAATACACACAAGTGGTCGTGTCCTCAAGATGCTGCCCAAAATGTCAAGATTAAAGAGGAGCAGAGAATAAATAAATTTTTATTGGGGCTAGATGATGCCTTTGATGATGTTCGTGGGCAGATCATGAGCCTTGAACCTCTACCATCACTAAGAGGTTTTCTTTACTGTAAAACATGAAGAAAGCAGAAAGAAACTGATCGCAAATATAAGCAACCTAATGCTGAAAATCTTACTTCAAGTGCCCTTGGATCCAAGGGAACTCAGAATGGTGATGGCAAGGGAAAGAAAAGCAACAAATGGTGTGATTACTGTCAAAAATGCTGGCCATACCAAGGATGTATGCTGGATAATTCATGATAAGCCACCTAATCAGAAAGGGAGAGGAAAGTTAGAAAATAAAGCCTTTACTGCCACTATAGAGGACAAATCTAATTATGACACCAAGTAAGGAGGAAGTTGACCTCTTACGGAAGATTTTAAACAAACATGATTCACACAAAAAGCGTATAGCTTCTAGCAATATTGCCTACACGGGTAATGCAATTCTTGCCTTAAATTATGAGAGGTAACCTTGGTTTGCTTCAGAATTTACAACCATGTAAAGTTATTATGTTCATTAAAGTTGCAGATGGAAAATCCCTTAGAGTTCAGGAAATTGGTACAGCCTATCTATTCAATGGATTAAAACTTGAAAATGTTTTATATGCTCCAGAATTGAACTGCAGCCTTCTTTCTGTGAGCAAAGTGACTTTGCATCAATTTTGTGGGGTTAACTTTCTCCCTAAATTGTGTACTTTCCAGGACTTGGAGTTGGGGAAGATAATTGGTACTGCTGAGATGATAGAGGGGCTCTATTGCTTGGCTATACAGCAAGTTGAACGGGGCTTCTCAACTAGTCTTGCTATAACATCTTAAGTTTCTTCATTAGTAATTATTAGTCTTGTTAAAAATTTTATATACGGACTCAAACAATCACCTAGAGCTTGGTTTGAAAGATTCACCAAAGGTGTTAAGAACTTGGGATATGATTAATGTCAAACGGATCACACAATGTTTGTGAGACACTCAAAATGAAAAATGACAATACTTATCGTTTATGCTGATGATATAGTGCTAACCGGTGATGATTTAGTTGAAATACAGAGATTGAAGAAGTCATTGGAAAAAGAATTTGAATAGACTTGGAAGGTCTAAGATACTTTCTTGGAATAGAGGTAGCTAGATCTAACCAAAGGATTGTGGTGTCACAAAGGAAGTATACTCTTGATCTGTTAAAAGAAACAGGGATGCTAGGTGCAAGCAGAAACACCTATGGAATCTTCATGTAGATTAGATATTAAAGAAAAGGAGGATGAAGAAGAATCAACCTCAAATAATAAGGAAGATTTACTTCCCGTTGATGCTGACAGATACAAAAGAATTGTAGGTAAACTTATCTACCTATCCCACACTCAACCCAATATTAGCTTTGTTGTTGGGATGGTAAGTAGGTTTACCAATGATCCAAGAGAGAAGCATATGCAGGCCGTTTACAGAATTTTGAAGTACCTTAAGATGACTCCCGGTAGAGGAATTTTCTTTGCTAAAAGTGATTTTAAAGGAATAAATTTTATACAAATGCTGACTATGGAGGCTCACATCATAATAAGAGGTCCACTTCTGGGTATTGCACTTTTGTTTGGGGAAATCTAGTGGCATGGAGGAGTAGCAAGCAATCTGTTGTTTCCAGAAGTAGTGCAAAATCAGAACTAAGGGCCTTGGCTCATGGAGTGTGTGAAAGAATGTGGCTACAAAGAATGCTAAAAGAACTAAAACTTGCAACAGATTCACCAATTAAGATTAAGGGCAATAGCAAGTCTGCTATAGCTATGGTTGAAAACCCTATATATCATGAAAGAACGAAGCATGTTGAAATAGACAAGCACTTCATTAAAGAGAAGATAGACATGGGAATTATTGATTTAGCTCATATACCAGCACAACTGCAAGTTGATGATGTATTCACCAAGCCATTAGCTAGAGCATTGCTTGAAGAATTTAGAAGCAAGCTAGGAATGACTGATATCTATTCACCAGCTTGAGGGAGAGTGTTGGCGCCGAACAAAGCCCAGTGGGCCCTGTGCCCTAATTCCTATTTAATATTTATCATTTACTATGTTTTAATATTATGTTTTTGTGTATCGCATCTGTCCCTGATTTTTTAGGAGTTTATTTTGCTGATTCTCTCTGTTTTTAGTATCTCGGCCAGATCCTAGTCTGTTCTAGAGTCAGCATAATCTCTACATATGCATTTCCTTCCATCAGAATAATGCTAAGATTTTATCCAGCATCTATATTTCCTCAGTATCTTATTCTCACCTATATGGCTAGGCTAAAGGAAGAACTTCAGGATCTCGTGCAGCTATTCACCCCCACCACCATGCAAGCCAAAAGAATTACTCAGCCCCAAGAATTGTCCTATCATGAAGGAGTCATGTGGTGAGCACAGAGCAAAATGTTCTTTCAACTTTTACTAAAGAATTGTCCTATTGTGAAAGTACAAGAACAAACTACCAATGCAAATTAACAGCTCCAGTAATTTGAACAATTGCAGTTAGGAAGCTAGTGCACAAGATGCATCAAAGAATTTCAAGAACGCCACTGGGTTTGGTAAGGATATCAATCCAAAACATGAGAAATGACATGGAAAATGAAGAGAAAAATCCCAAGAAGCCTCAAGATTTTGTTGCAACTAGCACCTCTAATTATGTTCAACACGACTTTAAGATGGTTGTTCAACAGGTGCCAACATAATGGCCCCTTTGATTTACAAAGCCGCCATCACCATCAGTCTCAGCATTCTTCTTGCTACTAGTCTTTGTTTGGCCATCATTGATATCTTTGTCCTCGGACCCTGGCTTATGAGATATCACAAGTTGAAAAGTGTAGTCAAGTTCTTTCTTTTTCTCTGTCATCGTTTGCTTTTTAGTGTCACCAACATTGTCTAGCTGTATGTCCAATGGCCTCAGTGTTGAGAGGAAGGGCTGCGTATCTAGTAAGGGACCTGGTGCCCATGAGGTTCTTGAATGGTTGGGTGCTTCAATAGTTTTTTTTGGCCAAATGGGTGCTTCACTAGTTCAATTGGAAAAGTCAAAGGGGCAAACGCTTCATTCATGCTTCACTAGTACCCCATATTGTAAGCCAGTCCTAATGCTAAGGAAAGTCTAAGTATTCTCTTCCTTTCTTTCTCTTCCTTCAACCCTTTAATGCTAATGGTGATTGGATTAAGTGAAAGAGACCAATACCCCTTGGGGTTGAGAATTTGAATCTTGTGGACGGAAAAAAAATGATGTAAGAGCTACTCTTAGTTTGGCCTAATAGTGCTTAAATTGAACTAGTAGTATCGAATACTATATGATTGTACCAGGTAGTAAAAAAAGGGTTCAAGTCCCTCTTCTAAGTTGTTCGTAAGAGTAAAGTACTTGATATGATAGTAATAATACAAAGATTTGCAAACTGTACAAAGCTGTCCATCCCATTGTCTACCAAGTGATTTTCCAACCCTGACTGTTCTACTATCTAGCATAAGCACTTTCATATTTATGCACTTAGTTCTTAACGTTGTGCTGTGGCATAAGGTGGGGCACCACATGTCATTGCAAAATTCAGAAGCTATAATACTGCATGCGCCACATGACTACATGGGCAAAGGATGATTCGTTTTAGTTTTTCTCTTATCTATCATTCTTTTAGCTTCCTGAATTTTTTTCATGATTATTTCTGTTTCTTTCCTCCTATCATGACTTTATCTATGTTGACCCTCTTCCTTCCTCTTTTTTCTTTTCTGTTTCATTATTTCATCAAGATAGAGCTCACCTTTTCTATTTATGAACTCTGAATGGGAAAAACCTATGATACTGGAAACACACCAAAAAAAAAAAAAAAAAGTGAAAATGCTACAAAGAAATATATTAGTTGCACACCAAATTAAACGTAAACAAGGTAAATGTATTATCTCAATGAGGTTCTTTTAATGAAAAGCTCTTTCTCTAACCAATACTAAATTAACTGATTTAAATATCATACCCTGTCAAAAGCATGCAATCACTGGAAATAGAACAAGCAAGCAAAAACACAGGATATGAAGCAGATAATTTGAAAGAGAATTCAAAAAATTCCTCATCAATCTTGAATATTCAACACTCAACCAAATTGTTCATGAGTCTGGATCTCACAAACTGATCCAAAACTGTACAACAGAGGTGTTAGGTGGTAGAATTTCAACACTTGCTGTATTTATTGACATATCCCTGCAAATTAGAGATATTTCCGTCAAATGGAGAACAGATGACATTGAAGTATCATCACTATCTACAAAAACAAAAGACAACACTTACATCAACGAGCTTTGCAATTTTCAACCGAGATGAAGAAACAAAGTGGTTAACTGCATCTATGGTGGTTGGAATCTGGTGGGGTTGTAGGGTGCTAATAACCTTATCAACTGATTTCTTAACTATTGTATTATGTGCATCCTTGCTGAGACGACCCTCTTGCCAAGATGGTTTTAACAACTCTTTCGCTAAATCTACAAGAGCTGCACGAAAACTTTTTAGAGCCTTCAAATCATTCCGCATATTGCCATCCATATGAAAGTCAACATTAATTTCATGGCTTCTCTTAGCCTTATCTACTCTTCTCTTTTTGGTTCCCAATCCTTCACCTCGATATTTGGCATCATGCTCTGTTTGTTCAACTTCAACTTTTGCATTATCTTCAACAGCAAGGGTGTTTTCCCCAATGCTTGCCTTACCATTGTGGGAGTTTAGATAGGTTCTTGCTGTTGTGTCTGTTTCATGTGCACGGCCATCTTTTTCCGAAGGAAAAGAATTCTTCATTGCCTCATCCTCACAAAATCTGTGATGAGAAGATACAGAACTCTTGTCATCATCAAGATCTGCCACCTTGTCCCCAGCTACAGCACAATCACCATATGCCCGAACCAGAGACGAAGCCTGAATGGGAGGCCCGTGAATGAAAAAGGAAGCTTTTAGGGACCCATCTCCTATATTGGTTATCTCAACACAAGGATGAAATGGGTCATACATATCTCCAGAAGATGATATACTGGCTGAAGTAATAAAAAATGATGGTCGAAAAGGTACAGATGGCTCCCAATCATAAGAAGGTATTTTTCTTTTAGATCCAGCAGCATGTGGCCGAACTCCAGATGAACTAGTTAGAGGCAACTCTTCCCATTCTGAACCCAAGAAAGTGGATCTGGGGGCATGATATTCTTTGCCACTTTTCAACGGCTTTTGAGCATCCAAAGTACTTGCCCCAGTAGATAAATTTGAAGACATCAGGTAACCTGATGGGGCTGAAACTTGGGAAGAATATTTGTTATACACCTGTTGGTTTTGAATGGGAGCCAATTGCTCCGGACAGGATGGATAAGAAGAGAGATTCCTACTGCAATAGTCGTTTGATGCATTAAATATAGATCTATTTTCAGGAATCAAGCAGTCCCGTGATGTAGAACTATCTCTACCAATTGGTAAGACATGGTTCTTAGAATGTAAATCTTGTTTCGGAAGTAATGGGAACTTCTGTTTATCTTGGGATGGATGCTGACTCAGGCTTGCTTCTTGTTCATTCTGGATGGTCTCTTTTACAGAAAATTCAGAAGAATGCAAAGAAGAGCTCACTAATGAAGCAGCCAATGGCACTGGAGCATTAGGCATTCCTGATGTCTCAGCATTACCTCTCAGACCTGTTAAAGGAGAGCACTTTTATTAGAAATATCTTTGCAGAGAAGATTCTTGGAGAGATGGGGGTTACAAAGTTATTTTATATGATATACCTCCGTCCAACTGTCCTCTCTTGCAATTTGTAGAAACCAAGTCTCCTTCAGCCTGCTGGCCAGTATTACTTGCATGATCTTTTATATGAAGAAACCTACATGAACTACCTCTGATACACCATCCTTTAGCAAAAAAGCTGCATAAAATTGCTGGTCGTTTGTTTCCATCTTTCATCTCAGCACTGGGAGAAAGACTTTGAGTCCTCATATCAGCGGAAGTAAATCTGGAAAATCTATGGGTTAAAACCTAGGAGTAACGTAATTTACAAGCATTGTTGAAGTTGAACAAGTTACTTCCATAAAAGGAATTATGCCATGTAAATTACACTTTGGTAATATGATAAGTAAATGCAAAAGAGCATGGTGAACTACAATGACCAGACCTTGATGTCATTTGCTTCATTTCATCCCCTGAATGCATGTCCAACTGCTTTACTTGGTTTATAGAATTCTGAGTGCCAACATAAGCATCCTCAAGAGAGCAGCCTCTCTGATGGATGTCAACAGCCACGTCTTTTACGGCATCACTAGATGACTTGACTGTCCCAGACTCTTTAACACCGCATAAGTAAGCTTTGCCATCACAACTCAGTTCATTGTATGCTCCAAAGGTTTTACATTGTAGAGGGGATCCATTACTTTTATTATCAACATCTATCCCTTGATGTCTATCATCTTCAGCAGTAACCACATTATTTCTTGAATTTGGACTACTTGGAGTCACATGTTCCAGCTGAAAATCTTCCTTTTGCATCGAAAGAGCCTTACATGAGTCATTATTTTCTGCAGAAACTGTATCAAGTTTTGCTGCTACAGAAGAAACTAGCCTCAAGTTCCTCTCTTGCCCCTCAGACTCCATATGTTGGCTCAAATCTACAACGGGATTAAAAAAAAAAACTAAATGAAAAAAAAAAAGAAGAGCCTGATTCCTTAAATTACACCAGACAGCCAATAAAATTACGTCCAACAGAATGAAATATGAAAGACTTGACTATAGCAAAACACTCCACGAGTAGTTGAAAAACCAAGTGAATTTTGAACAAAGCGATTGATCAATGATCAGAACACAAAATGAATCTACCAATGTCTTTCATCATTACAATCATTAAGTGACTAGAAATGAAGACTGGGGCATGAAATTGCTGGACGAAATAAAAACACCAGCGTTCTGAACTCTGAAGGGGAAAATGGTGAACTGTCTCATTGGTTGTAACTTGGCTGTAGCCTGCAGTCGCCAAAGTTCAAGATTGATCACTTATTTATATTTTATATGAAGAAATACTTCAATCTTAGTCATATGAAAACCAAGGTGTCACTGACTGAATTCTTGGCTATTGTCAGATTTGGGGCAACCAAAGTTCAGGCACTAACATCACATTTCTCATAATTGCACCACCAGCCCAATCAACAACTCACAGGTGGCTTGCTAGACCCGGAAATTTGTTTGGGATTTGATCAAGCTTGATCAGATATTTGATAGGACCTTGACTCAACTCCAAAGCACAATCCAAATTCAAGTCTGTACAGAGGCTCAATTTTCATACAAGCCAATAAAAAAAAAACACCAATTTGCAGCTTTCAAGGATTGCCAACGTGATATGGTAGAAAATAAAGAAATAAAGAATAAATAGTTTTAGTTAGTTAGGGAGTTCATTTGTCAGGATTTGCTACAAGGGTCTATATAAGATGGTGCATAATGTGGAAAACCTAGAAATATATTCAAGTTCTCTCTCTACCTCTGTTTCCCTTTTCTCTCTTCTTCTAATTTCCCTCTGTTTTCTATTATGTTTCTTCCCTTCTTCTCTTTCTACCTTTTATGCCTGAAACACGCTCCTAGGCCATACTCAAGCAGATGGCAGAACAATCAGATGAAAGAATTTGGACCTTCGAAACCTAGATGCAAGCTCTCACAGCACAGATTGCTCATCTTGTTTGCACCTTCAATGAGTCTCATAATACTCACAAGGCAGCCTCCAATGGTGGGGGAGGACACCATCAACCAAGGCCAAAGAGGGAGTACCAACCATCTACAAGATTTACCAAGATGGAATTCCCAAGATTTCAGTGAGGGGATGTTCTTGGTTGGTTTTGAAATGCAAATGATATTTCCAAATCAATGAAACTCCAGATGCTTGAAAGACTATGATGGCTAGTATGCATCGTGATGAAAAGGCTTTTGAGCGGCATCAAGCATTTAAGCACACATGCATAGGCAAACATCTTCATGGGAAGAGTATGTGGAGGCCATTGAGCAAGGTTTGATCCAACATACGAGGCACCAATGGCCGACCTCATGCATCTTTGGCAAGCAAGAAGTCTTAGGGACTATAACAATGCGTTTGATCATATCACTCGTAAAATGGACCTAGCAAAAGATTACCTAGTCCAATCCTATCTTGAAGGCTTAAGGGAGGAGCACGTAGGGCCTGTCCGACTCATAAAGCCCACTACATTACAAAATGCTATAAGCCTGGCTCATTTACATGAAATTCATGTTCAAAAGTCAGGTGAAAATTTAACATGCTCGATGATAGTAGGAGGGAAATTGCACTGATACAGTCTTCTCGGCTCTTCTCCTAGCGTGTCACACTTGTCAAGCAAAGGGAGGACTGCGAAGATGACTGTTGGAGGAAATAGGTCTTAATTGTTCACAAGTACGGCTGATCATTCACCCAAATCTAACTCTTTTCTGTCAGCAAAGGGGTCTGATCCTTCTGATTCTTCGATGGCAAAGTCATCTTCAAACCCTAATTCAAAAATCATAAAGAAATTGAACCTAGAGGAAGTAGATGATCTTCGATCAAAGAACCTCCATTTTTATTGCCACAAGCCCTTTTTCAGAGGTCATAGATGTTCACAGAATCAGCAGATGGAAATGCAACTTATTGACCTTCAACCGGATGTTGCGGAAGAAATCACAAATACTGAGCAATGATCATAAAAATAGGGATCTTTTGGTGTAGGTGAGGAGTCTTCTCCATAAGCAAGTTGCTGGTTGTACTAGTTTTTTCAGTTGTTCTTTCAGTTTGAAGGGTTAGATTGTTAGGTCCTTCAGGTCAAGGGTTTTTCTAGGGGAGGGTATTGATATGGTAGAAAATAAATAGTTTTAGTTAGTTAGGGAGTTAGCTTGTTAGGATTTGCTATAAGGATCTATATAAGATCCTAAGCGTAAGTCAAATGAAGCTTAATGTGAAAAACCCAGAAATATATTCACGTTATCTCTTTACCTCTGTTTCCCTCTTCTCTCGTCTCTTACCTTCTTTTCTACTTTCCCTCTGTTTTCTATTCTGTTTCTTCCCTTCTTCTCTTTCTAACAAATCACAATGACTTAAACTTTAGCTTGAATGATAACCACACAACAAAAAATGAGTTTTATTTAATACAAAACACTCCCTTTCTATTGATAACCATGTTGGCTTGAAGCATGGTTAGACACAAGCCCACCAATGCCATGTGCTAAAATTTAATTTGATCAGTCACTAACAGCATATATAGCTCATGATATAGTTTGTAGTGCTATGCTATGACCCTTGGTTCTAAATTGTTTCTGCAGCATTGCAACTTTTACAAAGCTCTGCTATAACCACACTAAAAGAGCTTCTTTTGTGTGGCTATAGCTCTTAAGTGCACAACAGATAAATAGAGAAACAATGGCCTTAATTTAAGTGATTTTCCCAAGGTTGCCATTGTAGATTCACTCAACCCATCCATGTAAAGTCAAATTTGAATGATTTATTTATTATGATAGTGCTTTAAGAAGAAGGTTTAGAGCTTGATTGTGAGCATGGCTCAGAAGTGGGATAGCATAAGCTTAGATGGGTTATGTGTTCTAACTACAATTTGGATGTTTGATTGTGTTAGGTGGATTAGGATAGGTTTTCCTAACCCACGCTCCATTTTTCCAAACCCTTCAAATTGGATTTTAGGGTGTCTTAGGTTCCTCATAGTTTTTCATTTCCTCATCTAACCCCCTTCACTTTGATTTTCTTCAATCTTTCTTTGGCATTTACACAAAGGTAATATTAGAAATTTCGCCTTTTGAATCCACCCATCCATTGATGACCTCTAACTTCCAAATCATGGGAAGTGGATTACAATCTATTTTTTAATTAACTTCCTAACTATAGAGCAGATGGTCTCCCCTATACCACTCCGCACATTCCCTATTACCCCCTATTTGGTCAGAGGGATCTAGCGGGGAATGAAGGAATTTGTGCTCCCCTTCCCTTGTTTGGTTCATAAAAAAATGAATGGGGATTTGTGGGGGAGGCTGCCAGCCCATCTATGACTTACTTGCCCTAATCATATTCTCGTATTTCCACTTTTCACCTCATCATATTTTCATATCTCTTGTCATTATGAACGTAACTAAAAAATTATCTTTGTTCTCAATATTCTAATTCTATTAGTGAAGTAAAATAAAGTCATCTAGGCATATGAGATTATACATAAACTTAATCTAATAATTTTATAATGAATAACATGACATTTGTTTAATTTGTTTAGTGAAAATGTTGAGTTTTCTAAAATAAATATTACTTTTAGGCATTGTATTTCAAATTTTATGTCAAACCCATTTAAAGGAAAACCATAGGCATATGGATTAAACTCCTTTCCTTACATATTCCCTTTGAACCTCTTGTAAACTCCTAGAATAGTCAATTTACTTCCACCAACTAGTATCACCTCTTCCACCTCCAATCCCTAAATTGCCAACCCAAATAGGCATTTGGATTGAATTCCTTTCCTTACATCTTCCCTTTGAACCTCTTCTAAAATCCTAGAAAGGTCACTTTTCTTCCACCAACTACTATCACCTCTTTCTCCTCCAATTTCCCTATAGTCAACCTCTCAACTACTAGAGAGTTTAGAAAAATCATGGTTGTCACAATCTATAAGAATTTTTAAAGCTTTCATTCACATACTCCTTTGCAACCCCATTGTTGGATTGACATCAATACCATCAATGGCATGCAATCAGACTTTTAAAACTGGTTACAATACTTCTTTCCCTGCACCATCTTCCATGATTTCTTCTTCTTCTGATCAGTAACTTTCTTCAATTTCCTCATTGATTGCTCTTACAAATATATGAGATCACAATAATAAATTACCCAGAGTATTTTAAGTGTTGAACCTACTAGGAAGCTGCACTTTTACTAATTTAAATAATTAATAGTTTGAAAAAAATAGATAAAATAGAATATTTGATGAGAATATAAATAATAAAAATAAATCAAGAAAATAATGATGATGAAAACACAATCACTTGAAGCGTTAGGAATTAAAATTCACCCTATAAGTTGCTAGTTTCTACCCTTTAAAGTTGACTCTTATCAGTTATAGTGACAACTATTCCTAAAGTGTCATAATATTCTCCTAAATTATTACTCTCTTTTTAATTAACGTCGAATTCATTCCCACGATATCCAAATAACTAATTAAACCGTGAAACTATAGTTTAAGTCACCACAAATTTTTAGAACTATTCCTAGCCTAGTTATTTATGTCTATTTCTCTAGATCTAGGTTCTCTCTTCACCTCCGACACCATCAAGATTACCCATAAATTTAATTAAATGATGGCCAGTTATTAAATTAACATGAAGAGCAAGAGAAATAAATATAATCGAAAAAAAATATACATATAAATGCAAAGAGTCAAAACAAAAAAAGTAAAAAACTAGCTCCACAATTAGGCTACATCCCTACTCTAACTGGGTAATTTAGAAACACATAGTAAAATCAAATAACACCATTCTAAAATCCTCAATCATGAAAAATGATCACAGAGAAAATTAAGGAGTAGAAAAGAAATAATTATGATTTGTAAAACTCCTTAATGATCTTACTTTCAGCCTTCAGAATGCTTCT